TGCTGAGAGGGGGGCAAGAGTGGCCCCCGCAGGACAACAACATCACCCTCACTTGCGAGTCGGCTCAGTCGCCGAATGAACCTTGTTATTTGACTGGTAAGCCTTCTACTTACTTATAAATGGAAAATAGAATTAGCTTATAGTTATAACAATTCTTCTTCTTCTTTTCGTGTGGGACACCGAGTCGTTCAACGACCCGATGAACCCTGGTGTTACAGTTACTGCTATTAATATATATTAATCGAGATTCAAATAAAGAGAAATTTTGTACCTGTTATGTAACGATTTGACTAAATCGCTTTTTCAAGGCTGTAGGCTGCGCTATTCATCTCATCAGTGCCTATCAATGATTACTTCAAAGTAAGCAATGATTTATTGATTACCGATCACCATTTAATTATAAAACTGAATTGAAACCGGTGCAAGTTACATAATTTCTAATTAGTTTGAACAACAGCGTCATGATTCCTCGAAACTACAAGATAATAGAGCACCGCGTTCCAAACAGTCTGTTCATTGGTATTCAGAATATTTGGTCTAGATCCGGTTACATTTACTACAGATGAATAAATTGACGTTTCTGCTTAGGTTCTCTAGGTATTATCTAGTCCAGAATCTACTGTACCAAACTTTAAATAAACCAGACGGCAGCCACTTATCTAAAGCCAGGCATAAAGCCGCAGCTAAATTTTGCCTATTTGGTGTGTTCTAAAAATTCCTAAAACAACTCAACCCCAACCTCAACTTTGCACTGAAAATAACACGGTTCTCCGATTCAGAGCGAGGTTCCAAGTATCAAGTAGACAATCCTCTAGGGACCAAATCAAATCGGCCAAAGTAGCTACTGGATACAGCGATGAAACTAGAAATTTCATTTTATTCCCCGAAGTAATTGAGCCTTTTGGGTTTCTCGGCGCTTGGGTGTGTATAACATTTCAAATGTTTGAGAAGTTACGTGGAATTTTGGAGCACAAACGTTTTCTTTTAGTTTAGTTAGATAACTTTTTGTGTTGCTAACCTCTCAAGCAACAAAAAAAGTTTTTGTTGAAGTAGGATAATTTGCCTAACATTACGCACATTATGGAGGATAAACAAAATACTAAACGGTTTAGGTCTTACGTTTATTCTACACTTGAGGCCGATAAAAAATTTGTGCCAAAGTTCTGCCTAGAAACAATATGGTAGGTATACTTTTGGAAGGCCTTTGGGTATCTTTACCAAAACTCCAACTTTTTCTTTGTAATAGGATTTGACCCATGTCTTTTTTCTCAGGTGACATCAGAGTGAACCAGAACCCTCAGCTGACAGTTCTCCAGGTGATTCTCCTGCGAGAGCACAACCGCATAGCTGATACCCTGGCCAAGCTGAACCCTCATTGGATCGATGAGACCATCTTCCAGGAGGCCCGGCGTATCAACATTGCTCAGATACAATACATCAACTACTACGAGTACCTGCCTATATTCCTTGGTAAGTCAAACATATTTGACTATTTCATATATGCCAAATTATTGCCCTTAGAATCCCTGGAGAAAGATTAATTTGAATGCTTTTAACTAGATGATAGTTTATGCCGTGCGGTGCCGATTTAGAATAGCATCACCTCATGTCTTTTCAGTGGGTGTCGTAAAATAAGCGTTCTGATAGTTGATGTGTAATTCTAGGCGACAGGCTGACAACCAGTCACTATGGTGATACACAGTCTCATGAGTGACTCTTAAACTTTTGTCAGACTAAATATCAGTGTAATTAACTATTTATTAAAACTGTTTACGCTTTGCCTACCCCGCAAGGGATATATAGGCGTGATGTATGTATGTATAGTGTTATTTGCCGATATACCCATTTGTGGTCTAGTCCGCACTCAGCAGTGGAAAGTTTAATGGCGTTATTCAAAAGTTAAAATTGTACCTATGTTATATGAAAACAGGCCATTAAGGGCTATGTTGTTGAAAATTTGAGGAGTTAAATAATCTCAGAAGTAATTTTTAACAAAGTAGATTTCAGAAATGTCATATGGTACCCATACCGATAGTCTAAAATGGGGCGCAGATAAACGGACTCCTTGACTGAAGTATTCTTACGCAGGTATAATCAAACAGTAGAAATACATCACTCTAAAGTCCATAAAAATATCAGGAACAAAAGAACGTATGCAAGGAAATCGTAAAACAGATATCCTAAAACATAAAAACCACAATAGCATAATAAAATTAGCGTTATTTCAATAAAAGGTTACAGCTATAAAAGCCCTATTACGCTACTCTGCCAACAGGACCCGATTTGCCACACATTGATGGTTATCCTTAGCATAAATTATTCAGGGTCCGCTAGGTGCCCGTGGCTCAGTTGGTAGAGCGATGGGACGGTATCCCATGGTTCCGAGTTCAAATCCCGGCGAACCCTAACGAAATTTTAAATTTTCTCAATTTTTGAGAATAATATAGCACTGTGAGTGCATTAAAATCCCAATACATTGGTTTAAGCGAAAAACTTCATCATATGGTTTGAGTTCCACTCAGTGGACTAATAGTGGACTCAACTAAAAGTATTTAGTTGTTAAAACAACTGCTAGATGTCGCTTAATCGTCGCTTCGGGATGAGCATCAAGAGGTTGAGAAATTTATCAGGGTCCGCTAGGTACCCATAGCTCAGTTGGCAGAACAGTGGGACAGTACCCCACGGTCCCGGGTTCAAGTCCCGGCGGTCGATAACAAATTTTTAATTTTCTCTTTTTCAATTTGTGAGCATAATTTATTGACAAATACGAGATAGCCAGCAGTGTACACTTAATCAAGTCCTGTTGGGCTAGCAGCGTAAGTAATACTAATTTTAAAGGGTGTTTTCTGACCTTCATTCCCAATCCTTATGGAAATCTCCAGCTTGTTTTACGGTGGTCGTAAACATTTAATTTAAGTGTAAACAAAAGACCGAATTTCCTTTGAATTCCAGACAGTGTTTGTCGGTTATTGTGTTACGAGTTCAAGTTCGAATCTTTGCAGTACGAATCCAGAAGCTTAACCTACATATAGACCGCGCGCGAACTGATGGCATTCGAAAGTGAAGACAATATTATGACATGCGATGCAGACCATACTATAAAATACCTAAGCAAATTTTTATTTTGCATGACAGGCTTAAAAGGAATGCTAATGTTTTTTGACATTTTGATAGTAGGTAGTTTTGTACAAAAAAAAGTACATATTTGACTCAACGGAAACGGATTTTGACATGTGAGAACCTCGAAAGAACAGATCGTAGATAAAATAATTATCGCTAAAAATTTAGGTAGGTAGGTCTCTACTCTAATCTAATCAACCTACTAATTAAGTATGTGTATAAAAATTCAAACAATTTACCTAATCAGAAGCGGGTTCAGAATCTGTAGGTGGAACCCAAGTTTGTTGTATTATATCTTACCATTAACTAAGATCAACCATTCGTAATAGATACTCGTGGCTACATTTGGACACTAAGGTATTGTTATGTCGCTATCTTACACAGTAAAGGGACCTCAAGTTGAGCGATTTATGTGACTAATACATACGACCTAAGATATATTGAGACATCGCAACATCTGGGTTGTATGTATGTATCTCATTTTAACTAGGACTAAGACACATTGAGCTATTTCACACTTTGTTGGCATTTGGTGTCCTGAAAACTATCCTGCGGTACTTCATTATCAAATTCATTGAACCAATTTACTCCAAAATAAGTTGTAAAATTTGAATCCATCGGTTCTATCCAATCAATTACAATGAAGAATAAGATACTGCCTTTTGCGTTCAAAGTTTTTTGGCTCAAATCTGTAGCAGAGCAGTAAACTTTTTTCAATTTGCATAATAGGATGGGTATCTACATTCAGCAGCCTCTAAATTCTTATTGCATCTTCATGCTGTTGTTTGACTTGAAAAAGCTGTTCATTAGCCATTCTAACTTTTGAAAGACTTCCAACTTTTATCTTTTCGTGTCTTTCCTTTTGTACACGAAGAATGTAGGTAAATTTATACAAACATTTGGGTTTTATGTTGGAGTTCAGGCAGTCTCTCATTTCCAGAAAAAAAATCTCAGGTATTACAGTCATACTTCGCACGGATCCTAAATATTTACTAAAATATTTTAATGTTTTAATGCGGAATTTTCCTAAGGGCAAAGAATTCTGGTTTACAGGTCAGTGAACCGTGAACATTGTTCGCCTAGCCAAGCCCCATTTACATAGAGAGCAAAATTCCTCCGCAACCCACCGTCACACCGTCGGTTCATATTGAAAACTCCACTTGATAAATACCAACCTTTGTAAACAGTTAGTAGGGTTACTCCGGGTTTCCCAAAATAGCCATAATAAGGACAAGTGCTTTGTCTTGCCTCCAGGAAGGCTGGTACACTTGACCATCTATTAATGGCTCTATAAAACTTGCTTAAGTCTACCTACATTATGGATAGTCTAGTTTACAGGGCAGAAAGAATCAAAGAAAAAGTACGTCACTACTGAACCGATGCATAAATATACCTCTGATGAACCGCCAAGTGCAAAAAGAGTTTGGGAATGGGAAAATAAAAAGGAATGGAACTAGTACAAATCCTTGTAAATGGGCACTTAGCGGGGCTCTCCGCGATCTAAATGGTTGCTGATATTTTCCAAAGTACTAGGTCTCGAACAATGAAGGATGTATTTTGTTTCTTGGATGGAATGGAATAAAGGTAGGTAGTTTTCTTCCATCTTGGAAATAATTTAGAGATAGGAAATAAATAGGAAAAGAATTACAAGAAAACATTGTGTACAACTACGCGTTCCATGATCAATAAATGTATTAGAAATGATTACTGAACGTCTGTTTTTGATCCTGTTATCATTCAATAATGAAGAAGCAAGCGGAGCAAATTTATTTTATTTTCAATTAAGATACTCCCTCTAAAAACAAAGGAGCAGTCATTAGCTGTAATTATCTCATTAAGTACTCGACTGATGAAGGGAAAGGGAACAAGAACAAATCTGATTATTACGCAATTTCAGCAGACTCGTTATTTTTAATAGGTTGATTTTTGAATTGCGTTCATATGGACCAAAACAGTCGCGTATCGCCTTTGGTGCTCTTTTACCATATAACTTTTTAAAGAAAATTTATGGAATTCTATGGAGACTTGCGTCATACATCTTTGATGTCATATTCAAACGATTCCGGATTTCTGCGATCGAACTATAAAAAGTGAAATCCGTGCCAAGGATGTTCAAACAGCAAACCCAACCCCAACCTTGAAGAATACGAAAAATACGAGGTTCCAGTATAATTCTTATTTTGAGAAAATGAGCACCGATTACTCATTTTATGAAGAAACTCTCTTTACCCAGTGGAAGCTATTTACTCTTATATCACGAGTTTAATTTAGGACAGTCGTAAACACTGAATCAAGTCAGGAAAATCAACAAATTAAGAACTTCCATTCGCTCAATGTTTGGTAATAATCTTTTGGTTGTTTTGTAAATCAGAGAAGTTGGTGTTCGTTATATTTATTAGTTAAAAACAAGTTTTATTGATAAAATTCTCAATGATTTGTTTACCTACACTTTCCTTCAATTTTCTTTTCTGTTTTGCTGTTATTGACAACGGAGTTGTCTCTGCATGACCAAAAGTTTTTATTGTCAGTTTAAAACATGTTGTTATTTGTTCACCAGGGTTAGACAACATGATAAAGAACAAGCTGATCTACCCAGGAGTGCAGGGCTACATCAATGACTACAATCCCAACGTGGACCCTACCATCCTTGACGAGCACGCCACAGCCGCCTTCAGACACTTCCACACGCTGATTCGAGGATATTTGCAGTAAGCATCTATAACTATTACTACTCAAATAAACAAAGATGATCAGCAAAAAGCTAAGCTGCTACAATACAGTCACAATGCAGGAGTACCTGGACATACGCCTATCAGTCAAATAATATAAAAGCTGCACTTAACACTATCAAAGCACGCTTGGACAAGTAGTTTTAGGTAAACACAGTTCTAGTGAGCATTGATTAGACGGTCATCCATGTGCGCCCTAGGTTAAAGTAGCGTCTAAAAAGATCGACAAATCTTCTTTGTCTAAACATACTTTGATAGCGACAACCCGGCTTTATGATGATGACGAGCAGAGCATACTAAAAAATCCATTATTGATCGTGACGCCTGTGAAATAACCAGTAAAAAACAGGATTTATCCCAATTAAGTTATCCCAAAATCTTGGAAATGGTACCTCGCAGTTTAATCTGGCAAAATCAAACAAAGAACCGTGCAAAGCATCCTCTTACAATCTTTCAGTTCATTCTGGGAAATCTTGTTTTAGGAACTGCTGTAAAAACAACAGATATATTTTTATTTCTTTTTCTCTTTCTGAAAACACTCTATATTGTTTATCACGATTCAAGCAAGATGTGTTTTTCAAGCAAATAACACATAGTCTAATAAAACATGGTCTTTCCTTTCCAGAGAAACACAAGTCAACGTCACTTAGTATTGCCACTTTATTTCAATAAAATACGTTATGGGGTAAATTCAATCTCAGAAAAGTGACCTAAAATATTTCTTAATAATTTTATAAATTAGATTTACGTGTGTATTAACTTGAACTTTACAACAACACTTCAATTGCATTTATTATTTAACAGTATCATAAATGATTTACAAAAAACATCATAAGAGTGGGTAATTCTGGTAACCCACAAGCATGATGACGTAGACTTGTGTTGGTCACGTGGTTCACGAGTCTCGGAAAGAAATACCAGGCGGAGTATCTTATTATACCATAAAATAACAGTCGCAGTACTTACTTCAAAATAGATCTTTTTCTCAGAAACTTTCAATGTGTTTGCATTTGTATTCCTTTATTTACTTTCCTTGCACCTCCTGGATACGCCTACTTAATTTCCAGCTAGAGAAAAACAAAATTTAAAGAATTAAATACAGATACCGGCACTTATAATTACAAATATTGTCAATAGGTATCTTACGCAGTTAATGATCAAAAGGTTTGCGCAGTCGCCCTCTGCATTTCTGATTTTAGATTCAATGCAATAAGGATTGCGAAAAACTGTTCAAGCTTTTCAGGTGATGTTCTTGATATCGACAACATAGAAGAGGATTCATTTATGTTGAATACCAAATTTTAAAACACTTCCAGTGTTAAAAAAAGGCAAAATGAAAAAAAAATACTGCGAAATTTTCCACCGTAGGCAGGATTTGAACCTGTGACTGTAGATTTGAACAAAAGTTTCGATATCTGTATTGCCGACGACACTACGAACTTGGCTGCCGCGGTTCTAACCTAGCTTTCAAATTAAGGAGGTATATCTTGGCCACTTGGTTACCTTTTTTTATTTTTCAGACTGATCTCCGAGAAACGCGAGCTGGTGGGCGCTGTG